AGTCCTCAAAATATGAAAATTAATTGTGCCAGATTTTGGGATCCCGCTGTTTGAAGATTTGTTCATTCTTATATATAATATAATTATAATATTTTTGTGATTAATTTATCGTATAATAATCATTAAATTTATCATACTTTTTTAATAAAAAAAAGAGTAGATTCATGCATAATATTTAGTATTTAATTTAGAGGTTTTTAAAAATTTCTCAATTGTATGTTGTGATATATAAGATTTATAACAAATCATAATATTTAAAATCCAAAGTTCTGAAAAGGAAAGAAAGAAAGAAAGAAAGAAAGAAAGAAGAATAAAAAATGGTGGTTTTCCATATGGTAGTGTGTATGGAGGGTTATGTCGAATATCCTAATTAAGGATAAATAGCTATTCTATTTTTAGATGACTCTATTTAAAAATTTTTGCTAATATTTTTTAAAGATAACAAAGGATTTAAATAAAATAATTGGATATCAATAGTTAATATCAAATATAAAGTGAAAAGTTGTATGCCGCAGAAATTGAGTAGTATTATTAAAATTAGAATTCTACAATATTGAGGAAGGTATTTTTTTATCTGCATCGTTAGTTATAGGGTAGTACTGATTGGAAGTCTAGCGTTTACTGGACCGATATTTTAAAAATTATATTTATCTCCAATCAATAAGCATGAGTTAATAGCCGAAAAAATTGATATGCAAAGAATAGGAAAAATTTAAATCATATTAATTTATTTAAAGGCCATTACGTATTTTAAAATAGAAATTGGCGAATCTTTAATAAAATAAAAATCTGTAATATTCAGTGAAATAATTTAGGTGACAATAAATTTTGGGATTTTATATCTTCACCAATTATTTTTATAAATTATATCTTTTCTGAAAATTTACTTTGGTAGTAAAACGCTAAAGTGAGTGCTCATCCTGGTTATGGAGGCTTTCCAGTCTATGGGGGTTATGGTGACCCGGGATATAGTTTTCTATGGTGACTATCCTGGATTTGGAAGTTATGTTTCTGAATATCCTTACTAAACCAATTGAATATTTGTTATAACAATATTATGATTAATTTATGGTATAATAATTCTAATTCATTTATCGTACTTTTCAAATAAAAGAGGTTGATTCGTGCATTCTATTTACCAAATAATTTGAAAGTTTTTATAACAAATCAAGATCCAAAAGTAGAAATATAATTTCGAGATCTTAACCTCCTATAGGAAAATTAATATTTATAATTTTTTTCCCCAGTGTACCCTTCTCCAGAAAATTCATGACTGATTGATTTTATCATTTAAACTTAAAAATCGAATTATCAATCGAAATTAATAACTGACCCAACTTTGAAATAAGTATAATATGGGAATTTAGTTTTCTATATCACTAAATGATTAGACAAATCCTGGTTACTCACAAAGGAGTGATATTAGAAGTTAAATTTCATTTTTTATCATCCAAAAGTTTCACTAAAACGAAGCCTTTCATACTGCTCAATTTATAAGCTGCATCCCCGTGTAACTTATTACGAAACAGAACTACTAAACAGCCTAAAAATTGAGAAAATAAAAAAAACAAAAAAAAATAGAAACGAAATAAACAAAAGAAAAAGGAGAAAAAAATACGAAAAGTAACAATGCCACCAACCACTTATAACAAACCAAAACAGGGTGTCCTATATCAAAAGCGGTTAATCCTAGGTTAAATAAAAAGTTCTAAGCACTTCTTTTAGCCTTAAGAAATCTAAAACTCTTAAAAAGACAAATAACGAAGGTCAGATGTGATGGCACATCGACTGCATAAATATAATAATTTTCTAATCGTTTCGATTACTACACCTATATATAATCCTGTCGTTCAACTTAAACACTCTTAATTTTTCATGTGAAAATAGGGAAAATTAATAATTGTAAAATTCTAAATAAAATTTTTATTGTCTCTGACACAGCTGGTTATTATGACGATAATACCCTAAGATTCTTATATAGGTTCTTTAGAAAAATAACGTTTCTACCATTTCACAGAAAGGTTTTAGCCATTAAATTTTTTTTTTATAAATAACTACATGTCTAAACTCCCATTGCATATAATCTATATGTGACTAATTCATGATTTAAATCATTTTTGGAAAAATTATTTTATATTTCATAATAAAAATTACCATAGTCACTGACCCATTACTTAGTGTTGTTAAAGTAACTAGTTACAAATTTTTGATAAAAAATAACTGTAACTAGTAATATTTTTTGAAATGACTGCAAATGTATCAGGTGAGGGGTGGGTCAGCATTTAGAATGATATTTTTCAGAGAGGTATATTAAAAACCAAATATAATCGATTCTGATTCTAGGTCCGAATCGTTCTTTATATGTGGATCACAATTTGGTTCCGGTATTTAAAATCTCGTAACATATCGAAGTGCGCCATTTACTAGGCAAATCACAAATACTTTAATTTAACATCTTTGAATTATTTAACTCTCACTGAAATCCAAATAACTAATAAAAAGTCTAATATATATAACTATTATCAACAATTTTATCGCCTTTATTCCAAAAATTTTTACGTTTTTCCTTTTTTCAATCAATATTTATATTTTTAAAATAAATGGATATAATATTTTTGTGCGAATTTTAATATAATTATTTTTTTATAATAGTTCAGAGAAAGAATTAGTCGTAAAAAAAAGATAAATTCTTGGTGTAATCGGCCTTGTCTTGGATCTGCCTTCATATAGTCCTTTAAAAAGTTTGAAACGTACCTACCGTAAGAGGTTTAGAGTGGAGCAAACGATATGAATTAGAAACCGTATATTTGCTAATCTTCCGTGAGTGCGGAATGTTGTGGTTTGCTGGTTAATTTAGATAAATGTAACCGAATCAGACTCTGGCCCTTTGATCAAGAAATTTATATATATTATTAAATGCAAATAAATATTAATTTTAAATTTCCTTAAATTATAATTTGGAACACGTTAATAAAAAAAATAATTACATTAAAAAATGATTAGTAACTTGCAATATCGTTAGTTACTTTTGTGTATTCTAAGGGTAGGCCTGGGTCAGATCTTGGTTTTTTGGAAATATACTATTTAATAACTAAAATATATAATATTAATTTATTAATTTCTATAATATAACAATAATATATTATTTTTTAGATGATAATTTGAAAATATAAATTATACCGAAGACGATAATAAAAAATGAAATTTAACTTCTAATATCACTCCTTGTGTATGTAAGTAACCAGGATTTGTCTAATCATTTATTGATATAGAAAACTATATTCCTATATTATACTTATTTCAAAGTTGGGTCAGTTATTAATTTCGCTTGATAATTTAAGTTTAAATGAATTGTATATTGATTTAAATTAAAATCAATCAATCATGAATTTTCTGGAGAAGGGTACACTGGGAAAAAAAATTTAAAATTTGATTTTCCAAGAGGAAGTTAAGATCTCGAAATTATATTTCTACTTTTTGATCTTAATTTCTTATAAAAACTTTCAAATTATTTAGTAAATAGAATGCACGAATCAACCTATTTTATTTGAAAAGTACGATAAATGAATTAGAATTATTATACCATAAATTAATCATGTTATTGTTATAACAAATATTCAATTGGTTTAGTAAGGATATTCAGAAACATAACTTCCAAATCCAGGATACTCACCATAGAAACTATATCCCGGGTCACCATAACCCTCCATAGACTGGAAAGCTTCCATAACCAGATTGAGCACTCACTTTAGCGTTTTACAACCAAAGTAAATTTTCAGAATAATGATATAAAATCATTAAATTTATTGTCATCTAAATTATTTCACTATTACAGATTTTTATTTTTTTTAAGATTCGCCTATATTTTAAAATACGTAATGGTCTTTAAATAAATTATTATGATTTAAATTTTTCCTATTCTTTGCATATCAATTTTTCGGCTATTAACTCATGCTTATTGATTGGAGGTAAATATAATTTTTAAAATATCGGTTCAGTAAACGCTAGACTTCCAATCAGTACTACCCTATAACTAATGATGCAGATAAACAAATACCTTCCTCAATATTGTAGAATTTTAATTTTAACAAGACTACTCAATTTCTGCGGCTTACAACTTTTCACTTTATATTTGATATTAACTATTGATATCCATTTATTTTATTTAAATCCTTTGTTATCTTTAAAAAATATTAGCAAAAATTTTTAAATAGAGTCATCTAAAAATAGAATAGCTATTTATCCTTAATTAGGATATTCGACATAACCCTCCATACACACTACCATATGGAAAACCACCATTTTTTATTCTTCTTTCTTTCTTTCTTTCTTTCTTTCTTTCTTTCTTTCTTTCTTTCTTTCTTTCTTTCTTTCTTTCTTTCTTTCTTTCTTTCTTTCTTTCTTTCCTTTTCAGAACTTTGGATTTTAAATATTATGATTTGTTATAAATCTTATATATCACAACATACAATTGAGAAATTTTTAAAAACCTCCAAATTAAATACTAAATATTATGCATGAATCTACTCTTTTTTTTTATTAAAAAAGTATGATTAATGATTATTATACGATAAATTAATCACAAAATTGTTATAATTATATTATATATAAGAATGAACAAATCTTCAAACAGCGGGAATTTTGGCATGGGCATAAGCATTATTAGGAACCTTCCTAATTGAATGAATTAGAACACAAAAGACGCGCATCCATTATTTCAGGGTAATTATACACCCCGGCCGCCAAAACCTATTAAATAAATGAATGATGTAAAATTTATCAATCTCTTATTAATTAAATTTAATTTGGACAATAATTTATGTTAAAAAAAAGTAAAACTTACCACCACAAGGAGTAGGAGTATATAAGTGAAATATTTCATTCTTATCGCGAGTGTGTCTAAAATTAATTTTATTTTTGAAATATAGGAATAAAGAGGATAACTACAGCACGATAAAACTCCATGATAACTACTAAAATGTTAATATCATAAAAGTAGGTGCCGATCCACGCATATTTCAATGATCCGATCCGATATTTATATTGATATATAACCTCCCTTTGAATCAAATGTAAATTAAGAAATCAATATTTTTTTATCTAAAAAATCGAATTATGCCTTTAATTTCAATTTTTTGGTATTTCTAAAATTAAGACTATAATTAAAAAAACAATAATATTATTATATATTTAATATTATATATAATTAGTGTTGTTAAATGGCTCGTTTTGAACTTGCTTTTTAAAACAGCTAACTCAATATTTTAGCCTGAAAAATATTTCCTAAGCTTATTAGATTTCGATAATATATGTCTAGATCTTTGTTCCTTTTATGAGCAAAATCTTCAAGGTTGCGTAATATTTTTCTGGATGAAATATCGAGTTAGACACTACATTTAATGTTGGTATGAATTATAAAATTGTAATATAATTATAATATATTCTATTTTTTTTAAAATAAATATGAGAAACTCTAGATTTTCTGGCAATAAAAGAATAAAATTGGCGTTAATTATTTAAAAAGATTTAAAATAAATAAAACTTTTTAAAAAGATTAATAATAAAACATTTAGAAAATATTATAATAATGTATAAATAAATATACTTGACATAAAATAACAAAAAAAAAGTAAAAAGATCGGATTGGATCGGTTTTATGAGTATCGGCCAGATCCGATATTTCTAAAAAAGGCTAAATTTGGTGCCGATCAGATCCGATATTTAATATAGGCACAGTCCTACATAAAAGTATCGAAATTTGCTTCAAAAAATAATCATTTAAAAGGTTAGTGTCCATGGTAATTTTTTAGCAAATATAAAATGATTTTTCACAAAATGATTTAAATCGTGAATTAGTTCCATATGGCTAAATGCAATAATGGGTACTAGATAGGTAGTTATTTTTTAAAAATTAAGAACCTATATAAGGAACTTAGGGCATTATCGCCATGATAACCAGCTATGTCTGAGACAATGCACAAAAATATTGTTTAGAATTGTACAATTGCTAATTTTCCCTGTATTCAGATTAAAATTGAGAGTGTTTATGTTGAAAGAGCGGATTTTATATAAGGTATTCCTAAGAGATTATAAAATAAATATCTTTTATATGAAGTAGTTATTAAATGAATTCATGATCTAAATTATACCTCTTTTTATATCCACAATATTTTGATAGTTGGGTAGTAGAGCTAAAATAATTTAAGTTATTCTTTTTAAAATTTATGAAAGAAGTACCTATATAACTGAAAGGGAGGGTGTAATTAAAAATAGAAAAGGATAGCCAACGAAGGCGGCGGGAATTTTTCTATGGCCGTAGGTATAGGTTTTAGAGAAGGGTTTGCATCCAGTGAAAACCCTGTCATGTAGAGGCTGCCTAAAACGATCAGAAAAAATATTGAATTTTAACTTCTTAATGCCAAGATAAAAGACTTGATTGTCTAGATAAAAAAAATACTAAATTGTTCAGGTATAAAACTGAAACGTTTATATTAAAAAAAATTGAATAACTCAGAAAATGGTCTTCGATTTTAAGAAAAAATATCTGTGGAAGCAAAGTAAATTCTGAGATTTTTAGTATTTTTTTAAAGAAATTCTGATCAAGTGTTTCTTTAATTCTGAGCGAGATAATATAACCATAAAATATTTCTTATTTTTTAAATTGTGTTAAATGAAAAAAATATAATAAAATAATTGCATTTAACAAATCCACTAGTTATAATTATATATATACATAATGTAAGGTAAAATAACCAAAATGGATATATATATTTTTTTAAAGTTTTAATTTTCTAAATATTAATGTTTTTTGATAAATAATATATCACTTAATTATTTTTTTTATATAATTAACCTAAAAGTAACGAAGTCTATTTTAAATCTAGTTACTTAAATGCTCCTTTTTTGAAAAGTAACGATAGTGCGTTACTCTTAAGTAAGTAACGGTAGAGCGCTTCTCTTAAAGAAATAGCGAAGAGGTATATGTAGAGCGCTATTTTGGAAAATTTAACGTTTAACGAAAATACTGCCCTTTTAAAAGGTATAAAATGCTATAAGTGTTATAAATATTTCAGGTTAAAAGGAAAATGGTATAAATAATGGATCCTCGGGTAAGAGCAAAATACTATAGCTTAAAAAATTCTCATCGGCATAGACTCGGGTCGAGTTTGAAAATAATTAAATATATATATCAGAGTTGTTAAAAGATACTTTTTAAATGGATCAGATATAGATACATCGTTAAAATAATATCTAGATACAGATATTTTAATCAAAAATCTATCTAGATACAGATACCACATTTTTATATCTAGTTACAGGATCTAGATACAAGTATCTAGATCCTTTAACAACTCTGATATAAATAACCAGTGTCCGATTTAAAATTAAGACCTCTACAGGGCCTCCGTTATAAATAATACATAATTTCTTTTTCTTTACCTTCTTGAGAAAAACAGAATTGATGGATATTCCTTTTAATAAATTTTGAAAAAATATATTGTCTTCTTAAATAGTTTTGAATGAAAATGTTTGCCTTAATGAGGAGAGTAATAAAAAATATTATAAATAATACAAAATATCGTTTTTTAGTAAATATATAATTAATTAATAAAACATTTATTTTATGCCAACTATATATTAGTTTTTTTTTTTGTAATTTTAATAATAATAACAAAAAATATTCATAAATATTTCTTAGAATATAGAAAGAGATGTCACTGAAAGAACTGAGGAATTTAATTTTACAAAGGGATTAATATATTCCTATTTGTTTGTTAGTAAATATATAATTAGTTATTAAAACATTTATTATATGCCAACTAAATATTTTTTTTTTCTTATAGAAATGCAATTTATTAAAAGTATCATAATTGCGTGTTTTTATTTATTGCTTTGAGCAGTAATTTATGCAAAGCCAGATTAAATATTTTGTTGTATAAAAAGGGTGGGGAGGGGAATTATTGTAATAATATAAGCACTAGATCATTGCAGATAACTAACCGATCTCACAACACCGGATAGTTCGACAGCCGGGTCTATCTTATAATAAAATTTTGGTTTGAACAAATCAAACTATTTACATTAGAATAATAAAATTTGGTATTTGTATTCGATTCAAATTTTTCGTTGAAAAAAAAATTAATTTTTTTTTTAAACCGCATACATCAAATTTTTAAACATTAAAATTATAATAATAATCTGGTGACAACAAAACATGCAATTAAATTATTAACGAATGCCTATTAATTCAATTTATAAATTCCAGGCCAAATTTTATGGCCAAAAATTTGTCATATTAATATAATAATTTTAAGGACTGTCCCAATCAATTTTTTATAACCGTAAATCGAATTTTTAAACATAAGATTATTATAATAATCTGGTGACAAAAAAAACATGCAATTAAATTATTAACGAACCCGTATTAATTCAATTTATAAATGCCAGGTCAAATTTTATGGCCATTGTTTTATTTAATTAGCTATAAAATTTCCCCTGTAAAATATTCAAAATACAGCCAAAATATTTTAAAATTTTAAAAATAAATTATGCCCGGCTTAAAATAAGGATTCTAGGTTTGGGCCATTAAAAAAAATTGCTTAGGGAAATTAGTTAAAAGGCCTTAGAAAATCGTTTTCTCTGCATGTCTCTGAAAAATATAATGCATTTAAATGTTTGGAGAAATTAATAAAAATAAATGTTTAGAAATCATAAAAATTGTCAAAAGCTAAATATTTCCCTTATTGAATTTATAGACTTAGCCAAATTTTTCCCTAAGTGGCGAGATAACTTTTTGGCTTAGCCCCCAACAAATGTATTGATCGATACCATGGGATGCTCGCAAAAGGGATACACAACCACCCAAGAAAATTATTATACGTCAATTATTAAAAAAAACTTAATGGCTAAATTTATATATGGGCCATTCCAGGTAGGGGTGGGACCAATACCAATATAATATTGGTTTACAATACCAATACCAATATAAACCAATATATAATTAAATATTGGTATTGTTTTTACAACCAATACCAATACCAATTACCTAAATATATTGGTTTTAAAATATTGTTTAAATACAATTTTAACCAATACCAATACCAATATTAAAAATTTAAAATAGATAAATACATAAAATTATTTGGTTTTATCGTGGATAATTATATCGTGGATAATTATATCGTGGTATATTTTTTTACTTTCATTCATAAACATATTACATCTGTTATTTCTTCCAAATATTCCTGTGATATCAATATTGGTGTTATTTATAATTATAGTTTATTTTTATTATGGAAGTAAGTTTTCTATATGATATCTATCAATTTTATCTATTAATTCATTTAGGATATTATAATGAATGAAAACCAAATCGAGTTAATAAATATAGATAATGATGTTGATACTAATAATAATAGCGATAATGAACAAGAAGAATCAACGATATCTAATTAAAGACGAAATACAGCAAAAATCTGGGAATTTTATACTAGTTGTGATAACAAAAAAAAGGCTATTTGTAATAAATGTAAAAAAGAATTATCTATTCCCAATTTTGGAACCTCAGGATTATGGACACATCTTAAATCCATCCACCCAACTTTATATAAGAAATGTGAACAAATAAATAATGGCAATAAAAAAATTAACACCATAAAATCATTTTTAATTAATAATGTAAATAATAAAGCTAATTTAAATAATTTAATTATGGACTTTTTTATTCAAAATAATTTAGCCTTTTCAATGGTTGAAAATGAGTCATTTAAAAATTTAATAAGCTTTTGCAACCCCTCATTAACATTAATTTCTAGAAAAACACTTAAAAAAGAAATTATGAAACATTATCATAGTTCTTTTATCAATTTAAAATCTGTACTTTCTAAAATTACTTCTAAATTTTCTTTAACAATGGACATTTGGTCCTCTCCAAATAAAATACCCTTTATGGGCATAACCATTCATTATATTGATAATGATTTTAAATTAATTAATCATTTATTAGATTTTATTCCTTTTAAATCAGCACATAATGCCATTAATATTTATAATATTTTTAATTCTGTATTAAAAGTAAAATTTGAAATTGATTTTTTTTGTATTACATTAGATAATGCTAGTAATAATTTAGCATTTTTAAAAATTTTAAAACTAAAAGACAATTTTGATAATGTGTGCAAATGTTTTTGCCATATTATCCATTTATCTGTCATGGCTGCATTGGAACCTCTAAATCCAACTTTAAAAAAAATAATAAATTTTTTAAAAATTTTTAAACTTTCTATATCTAAATTTAATAAACTTGAAAAAACATATCTTGAAAAAAATCCAAATTTAAAATTTCCTCACCCTATTTTGGATATACCAACACGTTGGAATTCAACGTACCAAATGCTCGAAAGGGCTATATTGCTCAAACCTTATCTCACAATATATACCAATCATCAACAAAATACTAATGAAGAATATTATATTAGTGCCTTAGCTTGGAATAATATTGAAATATACCGAGAATTTTTAGAACCATTTAATTTTGCTACAGAGATGGCCTCATGTGCTAATACTCCATCAGTTTCAACAATCATTCCTTTATATTCCAGTATTTTTAAACACGTTGAGAGTTATGATAATAATCCTAATGCTATTTTAAAGACAGCTTCATTAGCTGCCTTGACAAAACTTAATAAATACTATAATTTTAATAAACACCTATATATTATTTCAACAATGATTGACCCAAACTATCAAGTCACTTATTAAAGCATAATAGTATAGAAACTCTTATTGGATGTCTAACCAATGAATATAATATTTATAAAACAAATAATTACAATTCAGCTGAACCTACAAATGAAACACAAAATAACAAAAAATTATCCTTTTTTGACAAAATATATCAGGTTAAACCTAGTCACAACAAAAATAACTTAGAAATAAGCAAATATGTGGATGAAGCCACAATTTATAATGATACAAATCCATTAGACTGGTGGAAATTAAATAAAAATAGATATCCAATATTATCAAAAATTGCCAGAGATTATCTTGCAATTCCAGCTTCTTCATCTAGCTCTGAAAGGGCTTTTTCAGAAGGAAGGTATCTTATAACAGATCAACGTTGTTCACTAGATGAGCATACTATCCAAGCTTGCCTGTGCTTAAAAAGTTGGATGCGCATGAAGGATTCTTCTTAAATACATAAATTTTTTTCTTTATATTACAATCTTTTGCACTATATTTTATATAAATAGACAATTATGTTATATTTTTAGTGTATTCATTTTGCTATATTCTTTGTGCTAAATAAAAAGTTTCAAAATATACGTTTATTATTTGATTGGTTTGTTGATTTCAAAAATATATTAGTTTAAAAAAAGAATTTGGATTTAGTAAAATTTTGGGAGTTGGTTCTTAGCCTTGTTTTTATGGTAATGCTTCATGATTTTTTTTTCCATGTTTATTTAAAACTAGAAATTAAGAGTTTTATAATCACTATTTCTATTCTTTTAATTAGTAATTTGAATTTAAACCAATACCAATATAAACCAATATATACCAATATATACCAATACCAATACTAGCAATACCAATACAAGAAATAGAAAATATTGTTTAAACCAATACCAATATTTTAGACCCAATACCAATACCAATACAATATTTTGTTTATATTGGGTTTTTAATATTGGTTCCCAGCCCTAATTCCACGTCATCAATCATGATTCGGCCGGCCCCTTTTAAAATTGTTAAAAAATTTCAGGTATTATTTAGATAGTTAGAAAATAAAAAAAGCCATTTATTTTAGCTGGCTAGCATAAAATTGTAAAATTTTTAAAATGCTTTTATCTCAAAAACTATTTATAGTAAAATAATATATAATATATCAAATTGTAGGTAAAAGAATCTCAAGTTTTTGTTATTATTACAACTCTTATTTCAAGGCATAACATACCAATAGAGGTGGTACGACAATCTTAATTAGTTTCATCATATCATACTGCTCCTTTTTTTCTAGTTACTATATTTTTCATTTTTAATATGACATTCTTACCGTGCAAATAATTGAAGGCTTCATTTGCATAATAATTTCTTCTAAAAATTTTTAGTGTTTTTATTTTATCATTTTATCTAACATAATAAATTCTGATTTGAATTTACTTCGTAAAACCAGCAACTATCATTTGTGTGACTATGTTATTTAAGATTATTAGCTGAGAGTATTTGACTGCATAATTTAGATAAGCATATAATGGTCAACTGTCTTTTATATACCATAAGAAATGGAAGATAATATTTTAGAAATATAATATCTCACAATAATTTTCTCGATTACGTATCTACCTCCATATTCTCATCTATGAGGATGTTCTAACCCACCATATAGTTTTATGATTCGCCGTTTATATTATCTTCTTCAAGAAATATTTATTTAATTTTACCCGTCTGTCTAGAATTTCAGTGCTCCACTAACATTTTCAAAATTTTTGAGTTAGAAGTGGATAATTACTTATTTATTCCCAATATATATATATATATAGATTAAAACTAGA